GAAAATATGTGATAACTGTTTGATCAGCAAACAACCCAGGAATTCTTTCAGCAATTTTACAGCTTCTAAGGCTAATGAAGTACTGCATGTTGTTTACTCAGATGTTTGTGGACCGATTGACACTCCATCATTAGGTGGAAATAGATATTTTGTTTCTTTTGTTGATGACCTGAGCAGGAAGGCATGGCTCTACCTAATCAAAGCCAAGAGTGATGTGTTCAGCATCTTTAAAGATTTCAAGGCTTTGGTGGAGAAGCAATCTGGAAAATGCATTAAAATTCTGAGGACAGATGGTGGAGGAGAATTCACATCTGGAGAATTTGAAGGTTTCTGCAAGGAGCATGGTATAGTTCATGAAGTAACTGCTCCTTACACTCCCCAGCATAATGGCATTGCAGAAAGAAGGAACAGAACAATCTTGAACATGGTCAGAAGTATGCTTAAAGAGAAGAATCTTCCTCATAGTTTTTGGGGTGAAGCAGCCATGACAGCTGTGTATGTTCTGAATAGGTGTCCAACCAAAAGGCTTGGCTCCATGGTTCCAGAAGAAGCCTGGTCGGGAAGCAAACCTTCAGTTAAGCATCTCAGAATTTTTGGATCTCTATGCTACAGACATGTTCCTGATCAAAGGAGAAAGAAGTTGGATGACAAGAGTGAGGCAATGATTTTTGTTGGATACAACTCTACTGGTTCATACAAGCTATTCAATCCCAAGAATCAGCAAGTCCTATTTAGTAGAGATGTCTACTTTGATGAATCAAGTTCATGGGCAGAGTTTCAGTCTACTTCTGATATAATACCAAAGTTTCAGTTTGAATGGAAAGATGAGGATCTAGTTGGAGAGACACATCAAGAAGTGGTCAACAGTGAACTTCAAATGGTGGCTGACAGACCTACAAGAGTCAGGAGTTTTCCATTAAGACTCAGTGATTATCAGATTTATCATGATAGTGCAATTACTGAGGAAGGTGATTTGGTTCAGCATATGGCACTTTTGACAGACATGGAACCCATTACGTTTGAGGAAGCTATCTCTAAGGAAGTGTGGAGATCAGCAATGGAGGAAGAATTGAAGAGCATTGAGAAAAATGATACCTGGGAAATGGTGAATTTACCTCAGAATAAAAAGGCTATTGCTGTTAAATGGGTTTTCAAAACTAAATTCAAATCTGATGGGTCAATTGCCAAACACAAGGCTAGGCTGGTGGCAAAAGGCTTCATGCAGAAGGAAGGGATAGATTACTCAGAGGTGTTTGCTCCTGTAGCTAGATTGGAGACTGTGAGGCTGATTGTTGCTTTGGCTAGTTGGAGGAACTGGAAGCTGTGGCAGCTAGATGTTAAGTCAGCATTTTTAAATGGGCCACTTGATGAAGAAGTTTTTGTGGCACAACCTCCTGGTTTTATATGTAAAGGTAAAGAACTGAAAGTCTTGAGATTGAAGAAGGCCTTGTATGGCTTAAAGCAAGCACCAAGGGCGTGGAACAAAAGGATTGACTCTTTTCTCACTGGTTTTGGCTTTCAGAAATGCTCAGTTGAGCATGGTGTGTATATCAAAACAGTAAGTGAAACTGAGATATTGGTATTGTGTTTGTATGTTGATGATTTACTCATCACTGGTAGCAGTTTGACCGCTATTGAGTCACTCAAGCAAGGTTTGAAGAGTGAATTTGAGATGACTGATCTAGGCATCCTGTCCTATTTTCTGGGAATTGAATTTGCCTACACCGAGAAAGGCATCTTTATGCATCAAAGGAAGTATATGTCCGAAGTTCTGAAGAGGTTTAAGATGCTGGGGTGCAAACCAGCAGAAACTCCAGCTGAATTGAATGTGAAGCTTGATAAGAGCGAAGATGAAGGCTCTGTTGATGGAACTATGTTCAGGCAAATTGTTGGTAGCTTGAGATTTATTTGTCACAGCAGACCAGAAATAGCTTTTAGTGTTGGTTTGGTCAGCAGATTTATGAGTGATCCTAGACAATCACATTTGGTTGCAGCTAAAAGAATCATGAGGTATCTAAGAGGAACGCTCAGTTATGGCATTTTGTTTCCTCATCACACTAAAGGAGATGATAGCTTACACCTTGTAGCCTATTCTGATTCTGATTGGTGTGGTGATCTGGTTGACAGAAGGAGCACCATGGGACAAGTTTTCTTGCTGTCAGGATCACCCATATCCTGGAATTCTAAGAAGCAGACAGTAGTAGCACTCTCTACCTGTGAAGCCGAATACATTGCAGCCTGTGCAGCTGCATGTCAAGCCTTGTGGATATCCTCTCTACTTAAAGAATTAAAGATGTTTACTGGTGAAGCAGTGGATTTGCTGGTGGATAGCAAATCAGCAATTGATTTGGCTAAGAATCCTGTGTCACACGGTAGAAGCAAGCATATAGACACGAAATTCCATTTCCTCAGAGATCAAGTAAGCAAGGGGAGGATCAGACTTCAGCATTGCAGATCTGAGAAACAGCTAGCAGACATTATGACTAAATCCATGAAGAGTGAAAGATTTAAAGAGTTGAGAGAGTTTTTGAATGTTGTTAGTTTGTAATTGGTTTGAATCAAGGGGAGGTGTTAGAAGTGATTAAAACATTATAAATACCACCCTT